GCTCCGCATGTGGCAGCAGCACCACACAGGGGTTTTGCCACCTTTTACAAGGGGGATTGAATGTCCCCACAGCTCTGCATGTGTTTGTTTGTTAGCTCAATGGGGCCATCCTTGCTCCTTTGCTTCCTCTCCTATTTATTGCATGTATTTTTGCCTTTTTCTTCTGGAAAACACATGTTTTCCCTGCTCTGGAAGAAGGGATCTAACAATGCTGCCAGGCCCCAGAAACAAGATTACTTTTATAGCCTGCTATGTCTTGTCTTTAACTTCTGCAAGCACCAATTTAGAATATCCTCTCCTTATGCTAATGACAAACACCTACTGATACTCCGTGTTTTGTGAAACACAGAGCAAAACACAAAATCCAAATGATCAATCTGTACTCTCCAAGGCAATTTCTTAAGAAAGCAGCCTTTTAAATCAGAAACTGCAGTTACCTGGAAAAAAACTCATCTTGGCAATTGCCTTCGCTGAAAAAAAAATCTAAGGTCCTGCTCTCTAAAGCCCAGCATTGACTCCACACACCACGAAGCAGGATGGGTTGTATGTCTGTCCTCACCCGCTGGGAACATCACAGAGCAGCCAAAGGGTTTGGCTACACGCGGCTGCTACGTGGCAGCCGGGAGCACCTGAAGCCCTTTGTGGTCTAAGCTGTGTCCCTCAGACGGCACACGGGCTGCTTGGCTGATACGGTCCTTCCACCACGCAGCAAGACTAAAAGATTTGAAACCTGTCTGTAACAATGTAAAGGGACAGGGACCTGCGTTCCCAGGGACGGGCCATCTCGGAGCTCTTTGGGGTTTCTACGCTGCTGCCGCAGCTCGGCCTAGCAGAGGGACACGGCTTATCCTAGTGCACCAACACGCTCACGGCAGCTTCTGCTGGACTTTGGTGGATGAGCATGTGGCATCAGAGTAAGAGAAGCTGCTGTTTCTGCAATGGGGCTTCCTGCAGTATGTTGTCATCATTTTTTTTCCGTACAGAAATGACATGAAAGAGAATGAAATCAAGGCTAAAACCCTCCTTTCCCCACAGTCACACCACTCTTAAGGTGGTGCTAATCTCGGCCTCAGGGAGAGCCACTACTTTATTTTAGCCAGATAATTCAACGTGTCATGCAAAAAACACCCTTGAGGCAGCTGCTGTGCGATGTGAGGGGCCTGGTAGCCCTCAGGGAGCATCTCCTTACGCTGCCCATGTCCTGACTGACCGTTTCCCCTTCCCCTCTAACACAGCGCACGCCCTGCCCCACCGCTGAGGGACAGGGAGCAGCTGGGCCCAGAAACGGGCCCAGAGCGCGTTTCCAACAGGGCAAAATTTCAGAACCAGCACCCGCGGGGGCCGGCTCAGGGCAGCGGGGAGGCCCCGCCGGCCGAGGCGCCCACCTGGCAGCCCCGGCCAGGCCCTGGAGCGCGCGGAGGAGAGCGTCGCCGCCGCCGCCGCGCAGGCTCTGCCAGCGCCTCCCGTTGGAAGTGACCTGCAACAAAAAGGAAGGAGGTTATCGGAGGCTTTGCGAGAAATTCCCATGTCTTTTTTTTCTCTTTTTGCAGGATGGGGGAGAGGGAAGTCAGTTACAGTAACTGCAAGTGGAAGGAGACGGTGCAAATATCCCCACAGACAAGCCCCTTGCATGGGACAGGGCTGGATTTCAGGCAGACTCTGTCCAAAATGACTTGCTTTAACTAACAAGATTCTCTCATTTCATGACCCGTTAGCCATGCCGTAACATAAAATTGCCTGGCATCACTGTATGGACACCAAATACCCAACAGGTTCCTGAAAAACCTCCCAAATCTCAACAAATCACTGAAAAAAAAAATGTATTTGCGTGTCAGTTCCTGCTTGCAGAGGCAAGGAAATCCTGGCAAAGAAGAAAGGGAAATGAGGCGACTGGGGCAGCTGACTGTTCTGATACCCGAGGAGTTGTTTGAAACGACAACTTTTGATCCCCAAATCCAGCAAGGGCTTTCAAGCTTTAAACATGCCGCGGCTGGCCCTGCTCACCATCAATCAAGCATCTGGGTGACGCACCTCTAGGGCCCCCTCTTAAATCACACGAGAAGCTGTAGTTGGAGCTGCCGCCCCACCATGATTTATCAGCGCTGCCTCTACCACCACAGCGTCACTCCATCCATAACCGCAACTTCCTACAGGTACCCAATGACAGGAAACAGGCACCTGTATGGAGGAAACTAAACGTCTACCCTATATGTCTGGGAAAAAAAAATCCTGTGAATCCACTACCCAAGCACAAATCACCGGCAAATCCTGATGATGGCTCATTAAGCCTTTTTATGCCTTGAGTTCTATATCTGAGCCCTTCAATTTATATTGCTGTAATACAGTTTGTCATCATCGCTCTGAATTTTAGCAGAGACACAGTGAGCCAGTGGTCGCTATACAGCACTTTTCTCTCTCAACATCTGCAACCACAAAATACCATTTTTTCGTCCCGAATAGCGCTAGTGCCTCCCGTAAACACTTCTCGTCACTCCTGCAACGAGTCAGCCACTGCCACGTGTTTCCTCCTGCTGCGCTCGACCCCTGTGTCCATCCCGAAGGCCTGGAAGAGGAAGGGGTCACGGCCGTGGGGGGATCATGCCATGAAAGAGCAGATCACGCTCCGTAACTCAAAGGACACTAAAGGTTACGCAGATATCCCTAATTCTAGCATATCCCAACTCCTTGGTGCTGTATTGGTGTAACCTTCGCTCTCTTTGAACGGGTTGGCCTTTGTGCATAATGCATAGACAGAAAACTCAAAGTGTGCAAAATCTCACGCAGAATGAATTTTTAATTCCGCAATGCTCCATTTCAGTCAATAACTTAGTCCAGCTAAGTAACAGGATCTGACTGTAGGGCTGCCAGTGCTGCAGTGTGCTGTTATTAGGAACACGTTTCTGTGGATACAACCCATTTGAATGGAAAGGCATGGAAATCACAGCAGAGAGAAGCAGAGGGACTCTGGAGCGCCAGGGTCTGGAAAGCTGTCATCAGAAATACTGGTTGATCTCAGGAATCTCAGGAATTCAATTTTAGGAACAAACATAACATTTTATACATGTAGTCTTTTTATTTAAAAAGTTCAATTTCTGTCTTCATTTAGTTTTGTAAATGA